ATCGACAATCGGATGGGTAGAGGAAGGGCGGAAACTCATAACCCTTGTGCCTTCCTCTTTGTCGCCGCCTTTCTGCACCGTATCAGAGCGACTGAGTCATCAGTAAGGAAGGTTTTATGGTTTAACATTCTCCGCCCATCCAATTAATCGCGGAATTTGTGTCCTTGAAGGCAGGGGTTAGGATTGCTGACGGGACAAGCTTGTTGCAAGCGGCATTGGTAGAAGGGCTGCGAAAGGGCTTTCGGAAACACCCCACTCAACCCTTCCACCAATGATGTTAGCGACAACCTCCCGCCCCCAGCAATTGTGCCCACTGCCTCTAAGAAACCTCGTGAATGTGACAATAGAGTGTGAACTCACATTCGCTAAGACTGATGAAGACCAGTATTGAATGTACGACAAGTTGCTGCTCATCACAAACTTCCTTGTAGCAGATACTATTCAGTTCTGCAGCACTTTCGATGAATATTGCTGTTGAAATAACCAGTGCTGCCGAGGCAAAACCCATCAGCAGTAGTTGAGTGCACCGATCAACTCGCCTGAGATTTTTTATGCTTCACATGAGTATCAGCGAAGGAGATAGTGTGAAGGGTTGAAGCGCCGGGTTGCTCCTGCTCGGGTTCAGGGACCATACTGCACTCGAAACATTCAACCCGAGCACATCATCGGGATGGGCTGAACGTCTAGCACGGCCCCTCCCGTTCTCCAGCGACAAAGAACGACCTCACTGATGGGGCACTCTCGATCGTGTACCCATATTCAAACCCTAGGCACAATACTCACTATAGCACATAGCTAAAAAATAATACGAGCTCTTGCTCTGCTTGAGTTTCCATTTCTTTTGGGAAGTCTCAGGAAACATTGAAGAGTGTGGCCTGAACTGCGTATGTTCGCTGCGTGATTTTTTGCGCTGATTTTTTTTGTGATGCGTGATTTTTGTGATGCTCAGCAAAGTGGGAACCCGGCAGCTCTAACCGAGCTAGTTCATAAAAATGCACACGGTCTTCTGAAACAGTAAACAAACAGTATACAGGGTCTTTCTGAAAGAAACATTGCAAACCTTGTAGCAATGAAGCATAAAATTCCACAAATTATGTAGAGAATGGCAGCAGTGATCCCATAAGAAGTGTTCGTAAGGGGGTTAGTGAGCAGATCGAATAACTGAAAGTAAGCAGTTGAACTGGCAACTTAAAGGCATGTTCCGCGATAGGGGGGTTGGGCGGAGAGATGAGTGGAAGGTCCATTTTCATTGCACAGCAAGACTCGTCCAAATGCATCATGCTCATTGGCGTGCCCCTTTTCTTGGCTCATTGGAAGGAGGGGCACGTAAATGAGGAAGAGCACAATGGTAACAAATCTCTGTCCATTTCTGGTAAAATCGGTTACTGAGGAATATTGCGGAATATGCCTCAAAATCTGTGAGCGAATGTCATAAAAGAACCAACAGTGACGATCACTCCTAGAAGGAGGTGAATGAGGCCGAGGAGGCAGCCGCATCTAGAACACGACCATACACGAGCCAAACTCTCAAGAGGATCTGAATTTTAAAATCAATTTTCCAAAATGTCGGAGTACTGAAAGGCAAGTTCCATGCACAACATATTAGCGGTGTTGTTCGGACCCAATGTACCGATGGTAAGTCCTCCCTCAAAGATGGACAAGGTGAAGGGGTGAAAAAAATACAATTTCAAAATGACCCCGGAATGTACCGGTAAGGCTCACCTCCGTTCTCGTATCTCCTGATAATCGTTGAAGGCGAGGTGCTGGTTGTAGATTGAATCAAAGGATTCGAGTCATTCATACTCTTCAGGCGTTCAACTATCGGCTATGTGCACCCATCGTCATTGATAAAATCAACACCAAAAGTTGTCCTCGGTGGGGACAATCTGAAGAAGAAGAAGTCCCACTTATTGCAGTTTTCTGGAAGCTAGGACATCAGCGAAATTTTTTCGTTTTTTTTTCTTTACGACGGAATCAGAAGAGCAACTGTACGGCAAGCTTTACGTCCTAGAATGCTGGGTGCAGTGAAAGGTTGCTTCACTGAATGGCGTGGCTGGGGACCCCGCAGCCGTCGCGTACAGTCGTCATCCGGGCAGTTGATTAGGCGGTCAAAGGGTCGCAGACGCGGCTGCGGCGCGTCACGACCGCGGCGATCAGCTGTTTCCAGCCTATTTAGCCATTTTCTCCCTAATTTTCACTGTTTTTGGCTGCTTTTCTAAGGTTAGTTGTTCCTTGTCTTCACAAGGTATGATTGAGGTTTCTCTAATTTTCGCGAACAATTAAATAATTGAACAAACAATTAAACAAATACCTAAAAAATCGCAGAGGACTTCATTCGAAAACAAAAAGGAATCCGCGTCCTAATATACTTCACGAATACAATAATACAACCCACCTTGAAATTTTAAATAGAAAATACAGTGAAAATTAGGGAGAAAATGGCTAAATAGGCTGGAAACAGCTGATCGCCGCGGTCGTGACGCGCCGCAGCCGCGTCTGCGACCCTTTGACCGCCTAATCAACTGCCCGGATGACGACTGTACGAGTTGTGCTGTCCCATAGCCAATTGAAGTTGTTGGAGGGATCACGGACGGTCGGTCCGTCAACGGAATATTTGTTGAGGACGTCGTGAACCAACGCAAATCCCTCAATGACAACCCATGGAACTTACGGTAATGCAACTTCGAAAACGTCACTCCATTTGTTGCGGGCACGTGAACGGAATGACCTGAATAGCTCATATGATAGAATCGCCCGTCTCCCGCATTCGCTCCGTCCCAAAGGTTTGCTACAGTCACCACTTCTTGGCTGCACCCCAGCCTTTATTTTATCAAGGAGCGCGGGTCTTCGTAATCGGTGTTGCCCTAAACGCGGATAATTCATCCACCCTCTCTGAACCAGCCAACAGAACAAGGTCGTTTCGGGGTTTTCGAACGCCTCCTTACTGTCTGTTTTTTCATTCTCGCACATATTAAACCTCAGCTTCCATTTAGAGCACCAACCATAGTGTGCCATTAACTAACTTTGAGCACGTATTGAGAAGCTTGAGTGATCACACGAAATTTCATTAATCAGTAGGGGCCACAAAGAGCGAAAACTCTGTGAATTGAAGGCTATTCGCCCCATCACCACGTAGCGGAGGGGTTAGGGGCCGCTATTTTGCTTCATGGTCACTTACAGTACCGCTCCTAATTTGTGGTCAATCGACGGTTTGCGACGCCTCGCCGTCGTTTTGCCGTAACTTCTGTAGAAATGGACCAAATAAGATGCAAGTAAGATCAATGGATAGCCCCGATTGCGACCAATCCAACGATTTATGGAACTTTCACTCCCCCTCAACTCTTCGGCCTCATTCTTGAGGGAATTCAAGATTGAGTCTCGAAGTACCCGAGGTGGTACCTGCGGACATCACACCGTCGTAAACCCTCCACTTCAGCTACGAGTTCCAAATGAAGCGTTCAAACGCTGAAGATGATAACAGATTCGAGACGAGCATGATTCTGTGATCATTTTAATATGTACAAGAGTGTAAACAAGGAGTGTTCCGAGAAGTGAATGCTTCTATCACTCGAACGCACTCCTTTTCCCCAAGGAAATTAAAAAAGAAAGGTTTCTCTGGTACTGTCGTGAGCTGTCAATAATCCGTTTGATAGCACTATAGTCTTGGGCCTATTCTGTGATTGCGAAAGAAAGGCAATTTCATAACCCTCTGCGATTACTGATGTGGATTTCACATCAGAAATCGAATAAAGAGGGCAATAACAGCCCTATCACCTGCTTCGCACGAATAGTTACGACAAGGCGGCGCAGGTGTGTTTATCTAAGAGCACAGCTGTGACACGTCTAGGGTTCTATGGTGGCAAGAAGTTGGTGAAATGAACGTCATTTTCGCGATCGAGACCCTCAGTCATCTCGTAGCCTATCGCCAATTTCGCGGAAAACCCACGGGGCTGAATGCGATCGTGAACATCGATAGGGGCGAAAGGACATTTCGTGAGCCAGAGAAAGAGGTTTTTACGTGGAGGGAGCTCAAGTAGGCGAGCTACCTATCACGCATGAAAAGGTGGTATGTGTGAGTTCACGGTTGTCAGAGCGCCAAATCGACGAAAGAGCGTTTGCAAGAGTACAGAACCTTAGCGACTGAAGGGATTGAGTTCCTGTTGCCCGCAAATCCTTAGAAATCCCCGACTACAAAGCATGGGATACCAACAAAATGAGATCACTTGTACGCTTATAGAAGTCGCATAATAATAATCGCCCACGGGACCGCGGCTATCATTGTGTGGTGAAAGCGAATGGACAAAGTTTAATTTGCAAAAATTTTGCCTTCCCACTGCCGCGCTTCTGCAACCTCCTTACAATCTTGTGTGGGATGCTATGAAGTGCCAGGGGAAATTGTGTCTAGCACGGCGCTTGTCTCTTTTCCAGCAATCAGTGTCGCTCGCTCGCTCAAACAGTTGATGGGGAACAGATTGGGGCAGCGCGAAAACCAGCCCCCGTGACAGGCCATAGCATCCACATGTGAATCATGACGTATCTCCTGAAATTATGGAAACTAAAAATCCGCAGTCATTAGTGAAGCATTATACTGCCTCAAGCAAAACCTGTAAATCACTCATAAATTTTCAGCTCTTAGACTGCCGCCAAACGTCAAACGCGGGATACGAAACTTCGGCGGCTCTTTATCGAGGGGGGGGCATTCTGCTGCTTGAAGATTTGCCAGAGCATCTAGGTACATCTTTTGGCAGTTGATATCGTTTTATCGAATTGGTGGCTAGACGGTCTTGCTCCAGCTCAACAAGCGTTACACTAAGTTTCGACTGGATGTGATTTTGTAAACCGGACCAGGGAAGCAATTATAATACAAAATGCTCGATAAACAGCGCCACGAAACCCCTACTAACTGAATGGTATAGGGCATTTCGCTGCGGACGGTTGGGCGTCAGGCAGTAATGAGTGATCACCCGCGGCAGAGCCGTTCTCTGCTTTGCTGTTTTTTGAAGAGCATCATGCAGTAAAAAGTACTAGAAAAAGAAAACGATTAATAGGAAGCGATATGATACAGTCATATTCACTTGCTCGTTTCAACAACTGTAGAGAAGGGTTTGGCACAGCGCCACACTCATCCCGCCCAACCGTCCGCAGCGAACTACAATATAAAGAACTCTGGAACGCGAGAAATTGGCCCTGATACCCGCGGCGCGTCCCAAAGGCTATACGGCCGTCTCCGAATGACTGTTCTTTTCGTTTCGCCCGAGATTATTTCGCCTTCAAATCATCAGAACAGCTTCTTGAAGTGAAATTCATTCCACCCACTCCTGTATCGCAGGAATTGAGGCTTTCAGAATCAATTCTCCCAGCAACGCTACTATGGGAATTGGGCCACATTACTGGTAGCACAACTAATTACATGACAAGTAATCATAAACAGATGAAACAATCACGAGAGATTCAGAGGGAGAGCAAGAAGAGAGAAAGACTTCTGAGCGTCTTTCCCTCTAAGGTTATGGGCTATTCAATTTCTCCTTCAAATAAAAATAAAAGCAAATTCGAACTGCTCATGGTCGACACAGGCACAATGGATGAAAGAGAACTCTTGCTTCTCTTTTTTTCCTTGGCGGCTGAATTTGAAACGAACAAGGCTAGGAAGTGAGATGATGAAGAAAGAAGGAAAGGACATGGAAGTCGCTGGTGTCCTCGACTCGACATCGGAGAAAGGATGCGCCCGAGAACGTATGTGCACTTCTTCATGGAGGGCAATGTGTAAAACAGCTGCGACTTCCGAGCGAAATCCGTTACGGAAAACTGCAGAACTCCGTTTTTTCGCAAAAATGATAAAATATCTTTATTGATCACAATAATCTCAGAGTATTCTTGAAGTACAAAGTCAGTGAAAAACTTCAGCAAACTCGTTTTGTATCGAATCGTATCTATAGGTGTAAGGGACCCGTAAGAAGAACATTTACATGAGGCACTCCATTAACGAGCATGTAAGCAGTTGATTTGGGTAATATTGAGCTGATTATTTATCCCTAGGTAGCTCTTGCGTGAGCGTGTGAGAATCCAGAGGTGCTGACGTGGGAAAGCCTCGAGCATTGCCAGTAATAAAAGTAATGGCCAACTTGTAGTTGATTAGTCATTGCGTTTCGACGGGATTGGCTGAAATCAATCACATTAGCAAACATTCACCCTCTAGTGGCAGTTACATAACCTACTTAATCAACATGGGACAAAGCTAGTTAGGGAGGGCCACTGCGGTGCGGCTATACCACGTCATGTCTGCTCGTCTGCGCTCTCTCACTGAACTGGTGTACATAACACAAGAAAAGACGAGGCAGTTCAAGGGTGTAAGTCGTATGACAGCATCACTTTGCCACCGAGCAAACTTATAGGTGCACTATAACGCGAGAAGTTGGGGGGGCAGCGTGACTGCACGTTTCATTTGACCATGGCGTTGGGAGCATGTTTCGTGGGATAGTTCCATTGACTGCATCTGTGATCCTGCCTTCTGCTGGACGAGATGATTAGAATCGTTCCAAAGCGAAAATAGGCCACCAGATCGCAGCCACCGCCACGTAAAATAGAGCGCGTAGCCACGCCCACTCCGTCTCCAGGATATGGGGCGCACGTAGGGGCAACTGGCCCGGAATTTCAAAGTGGGTGACCATTAGGAGTAGGCCTGGCTGAGAACATGAGCACCGAGGCCCACACTCACGACTTCATGCACCGAGTACGAAAACTTTAAAGCTCATCCCATCCCGACGATGCTTATTCAGGTTTTGTAGATTTGTGGCCTTGCTT